ATGGTTGGGTTCCCTGCTAAAGCTTCAAATAAGTAGATATTTAAATAGAACACTGTTTTCTAAAGTGAGGTGGGATGTATATACCCCCTCTGTTATGCAAGACAGTCAGCCCTTTGAAGTACAAGGAAAAAAGTATTGGAACTTGGATTTCAATTTATTTTCAACTCTACTTTCTTTTTTAGTGTGTGTTTTATAATATATGTGATTTATATATAAATTATATATAATATTTATAATATATGTGATTTATATATAAATTTATATATATAATTTATATACTAACCATATAATTTCTAAATCTGTTTTGGCCTGCATGCTCAAATATTTTATTGATGGGGACACAAGATTTTAAAAAGTAGTGATCCCTGGCTTAGAGTTATAGAATGTGGAAAGGAGACTAGTGAGATTGTCAGATGGTTGAGGGCCTTGTGTTATTCTTAGGAGTGTTATACCAGTAATATCCAATGAAAGCTATATGTTTGATATAAAACAGAACAAATTTCCAGTTTTAGGGTCAATACATCATTAAGTTTATAGAATTAGATTCTGCCAACTACTTCAGGCAGCTATTTAATATTTTTACAGCTGTATTATTGGTTATAGTATTGAAGTTCTCTGGGTAAAAAAAATTTTTTTTGGCCATCTCCATGTCGTGTAGTTTCCTTATCTTCCCTGCTGCATTCTTAGCTTAAACAGTTCAGAATAATAACAATAATGATAGAGGTAATAATAAAAAGAAACTTTGATTCAGCCAAGATTTACTAATTGCCTGTTAGGTACTAGGTACTAGGGATGAAGTGGTAAGCAAAAATCAGACATGAACACTGGATTCATGGTGCTAATATTCTAGTGGGGGAAGCAAACAAATAGTCCTCAAATCATTGTAAAAATGTTGACCATGAATAAGTGGTATAGTGGAGTGTGCATGCTACTCAAGTTTGTAAAGAGAGCTTTTCAACTATTTAGGGAGGTCAGTGGAGGCTTCCCTGAGGACAGAACTGGCTACATAATTTCTATGGCCCAGTGCAAAATGAAAATGAGAAGCCCTTTGTTCAAAAGAATTCCAAGACTGTGACAGCAGAACATTAAACCAAGCGTGGAGCCCTTCTAAGTGCAGGCCTTGTGCAACTGCTCAGGTTGCAAGTCCATGAAGCTGCCCAATCTGAGGAAGTGATGTTTGAGCTGAAATGTGAGGACACAATAGAAGGGGAAGATTGCTCCAGGGCAGAGGAAAAAGCACAAATGTATCTCTAGGGCAGAAAGGAACAGGGTGCCTTCAGAAACTGGATGAAGACCAATGTGGCTGAGTACAGAGTGGTTGGAGTGGAGGTATATTGAAGCCAGAAAGGTAGACAGGGTTATGTGTAAGGTCAAGTTGAAGATTCTGATCTTTATCCCAAGAGCCACACAAACAACTGATGTATGTTAAGCATAAAGTTTACTTTTGATGTGCTAGCAATACCAATAACTTGTAACTTGACAGCATTGGACAGCATTCTCTCTGGATCACCATTTCCTACCAGGCTTCTTTTTGGAAACTTTTAACTTTACCTTCTGTATTTATCCTAAGGCTTGCCCTTCCCTATGGCAGGTTTAAAAAGGCACTTCACATCAAGGAGTGCTTTTGATGGCAGAAATTGAAAATAGGATAGGTGAGTTATGAAATTTTATTCCTTATTGAATTAGTCTGTGGTCTAAAACATTTTAGGTCAACTGAAAAACTTGTAAGAGATGAAAATATATTTCATTGTTTTTAAAAAGAATATTTTTCATTTTAAATGCTATAGATTTTTAAGGTGTATTGTCAGCACTATAATTTTAAATTCTTAATCTGCCTTTCTTTTACATATGATCAGGAGAAAGGGGTGGGTATTGACTTGCCTGACCTTGGGAAAAAGTAGTGGGGAAGAAGTTGTACTTTTGGACTTTGTCTTTCACATAATAGGTATTATCAATGAAAGGCTTTAATGAATATTACTCAAATGATTCATGGACTTACTTATGAAGGCAATATTAGAGTTCATTTCCTAGAAAGATACCTGCATGGTTGATTTGTAAATCTGTTGCCATGCTACACAATTTAGGATTTTCACTTTTGTTACTTTATCGACTAACACGCAAGCCATTTCTTGTCCCATGCCACGCTTAAAACGTAATTATTTGAGGCGGTTTATATAGGCGATACATGTAAATCAGTGATGTTTGTATACACAGAGCAGCTGCTCATGAGTGAGATAGGCAGCAGATCATTTCCTGCCTCTATCATTTCTTTCCTCCTGGTCCATGGATGCACTGGAATTTGAAGCTCCTAAAACATAGTTATATCAGCCTACTTGCCTTCTCTTTTTAAGTGATTGGTTCTGCTTATGAAGATAACATCAGACATTTTGGCATTTACTTTTTGAGAATTTATTTTCAATAATAATTTCTGAGTTGGAGCATAGTTTGTATCTTGGATCAAGAAAAACATACACCCTTCACCTTTATTTTCAGCTTTAGGTTCTTAATATCAGCTTTCAGTATTTGTAGGCAATTTCTTTATTCTTGTTTGAAGTTAGGTAATATGTTGCGATATTTCTTTTACTTTCACATATGTCTGTTGTAGTAGATCTGGAGAATCAGTAGGAGTGATGATAAATTAACTTGTAACTGGAATTACCGAACACATAAATTATTGTTCATATGAGAACTCTGGGATACTGCAGAGTAGTGAAGTAGTTTTTGATTTATAAAAACATTTAAATTATATTCAGCATATATTTAATGCTAAGTTTGTTATTTCAGTATTTTGAAAGTTTATAACACATTCTTAGTATGTACACAAAACAGCTAACAAAAGTTAAAATGACCAGAATATTTAGTTAGAACTCTCCATTACTTTAACATATTTGATAATTTAAGTTCAGTAAAACTTTTATTAGCTAGAATATTTAGGGAGTAAGGTGGTAAGTTTAATCAACTATCCCTTTCCTTTTAACATAATTAATGAATGCCAACTGTATGCACAACGTGGTACAGTGTAGCATACACAGATGCATATGACACTCTGTGCCCACAAGGAACTTAGTTTCAGTATATCTAATTTTTGTAAATTTTATTCCTATGCATTATTGCTTTGCTAAGATTAATATAATGCATATAATTAAATCTTTGATGGTGTAGGATCTTATAATGAATAAACTTAATTATATTGTTTCTCATACAGATGTAAACGATATAGATGTGCTGACCTAAATGGTTATTTTTGAGTAATTCGCTGATGTCAGCTTGCTTTTGTTTACCTGATTTTTATTTTAAAAACTGTGTTACTGAGGTTAATTGGGTTTTTACTGAAATTTTACTTGGTTAAAAAGTTTATAGTAACATATAATAAATATTTAGTTTCACTACCTTTTTGGTACATGAGTTAAAATTCAGTAGCCTTTACATATATGTATAATATTGTGAGTAACAGCATACAAAACTATGTATGGTCCATTATCTGCTTGATGATTTCATGGTATTATCTGTAAGTATGAGTTTTATTTTGTGTAGCTCAAACCAAACCAAACCAAAAACAGCATTTATAATTTATAATAATACTACTGTGTTTTTCTTTTCACTCTAAAGTATTAAGAAAAGCAAATAAGAACCCTCCCTGCTTCGATACTGTTTTAGTGTATCTTAAATGATCAGTCATGAGAAAAAAATGCTTCACATATATACATTTCTTTGAAAAAATCAACTAGAATTTTATATTAAAAATAATTTGTTGCTATGTCATAGAAACTGGATTAGTTTAAACACAAGAAATATACCAATTATCAAAGTTCATATATTTAATTTTCTTTCTTGCTGAGCGTAAATGTAATTACTCTGTTAGAATTTGTGATTTTGATGTTTTATGGCTTTTACAAAGAAGATTCAACAAATGATATCCTGTTTATTCTATAAGTGGAGTCATTACTTGTTAAGTGCAGTTGATTAGACAGAATTCAAATCTAGTACTTTTTCCAAGCACTGGTAGGTTGCTGATATTCTCTTTGTAGCTGGCTAGAATCTTCTCTAGATGAAAGGTTAAGAGGCAAGGTCAAACAAGCCTGACTTCAGGCCTAAAATTAGCTTTATCAGCTTTATTTGACATTTTAGGTACTTACTGCTTCATCATGCTACTCCTCTTTGTTTTCGTGGGGTGGTGGTGGTGGGGTCAAGGCAGAGAAATGCTCTACATTATAAGATTCCTCCGAATTTAAATGCTACCAGCTTGTAAGGCAAGATGCACACAGCCTGATACAGACATATTTGATTCTTTCATGCAGTGTTGTCTGTTTGAAAATTTACTTTCTTAAAAATTTACAGTAAGATTATAAATATTGTTTTACCATTTTTTAATAGTGAATCAAAATTCAGTATCTTTTTATGTGTAACATTTTAGATATGTTTGTGTTTGAAAAGACTAAAAGAATAATAGCATATAGGCTGTTTTGTTTTTTAAATTCTCACTTTTGATTGGGCAAGATGTCTCCCACCTTCTCCTTATAAAAAGCAAACAAACAAAAAACAAATTACCACCAAACAGTAAACCAAGCATGCATTTAAAACATTATATAACTTACTTGGAGAAGTTACCATAGAATCTAAGGTAGTGTGATTAGTTGCCGTAGTTAAGGTGACCTTGGCAATAATATTGTAGGTAACAGCATACAAAATTGTATATGGTCCATTATCTGCTTGATAATTTCATAGCATTATCCCTAAGTATGAGTTTAATTTTGTGTACCCGAAACCATCCCAAACCAAAAACAGTGTTTATAATTTATAATAATGCTACTATATTTTTCTTTTCATTCTAATGTATAAAGAAAAGCAAATTAATTAACTAATTACTCTTAATTTGCTTAGTTAAGGTAACCTTGGCAATTCACTTTAAATGTTCTAGGCCAATGCATGTGCTTATTAATTTGGTTGGTTATTCATGTTTTTGCCCTATGTGCCTAATTATCACTGCTTTGTTTCCACAGCTGCAGAACCTTGGCCTGAAAATGCTACATTATATCAGCAACTAAAAGGTAGGTACTTGTTCACAATTAAAAATGTCTTTGTGTCAAAGTATATTTATTACCAAAAAAAAAATTTCCTCAATAATGTAATTTACTGCAAAGAGAATATAAAACAGAAAGAAGGGATTCCCTTGTGTAATTCGTCTAAGAGATTTTGCCTAAACTTGTGTCTGCCAGTGTAAACCAACTATTCATGGCCTATAAGGTCCTTAGTTTATTATTGACTCATTATACTGGCTGCTGTAGGCAGTGTAAAATGATGTGGTTGCAGGAGCAGTTGGCAGATTTACTGCACCAATAGCTGACACAGCAGATTTTTGAAGTCCTATGGTAAAGTGGGCTCTCAGTAAAAAGGAACTGTTAAAATGTATAGGCTAGGATGGTTCAGGCTCCCTTTAGCAGCTCTTCATATATCATCAGATCACATTATGGACCCCATTTGGGGCTCAGCAGCCTGCTACAGTTGTCAGAAGACTGCAAAGTAATGAAGACTAATAGGCAGCAGCCCGAGTCTTCTAAGCATGGAATTTTTATTGCAGCGAACTTGTCATCTTTCTTTTGTGTGACAGACCTAGACACACTGTGCAATATTAACTGCAAGCTGGTTTTATATGATTTTGAATGGTTTTACTTTTAACTAGAGAGGTTAGAGTAAATATAAAATAGTACTTACTTGTAATGAAAAGAAGAGGTATATATTTTGAAAACTTGAAAAATGAATTTGTTCTTAAATAAATGAGTGATTTTAATTATATATTTTTGATAAAATGCAATAAATGATCAGTTTTAGAGGAGATAGTCTTATTTTATCATTATTTACACATGATATACTATAATCAAAATTGTAATTATACAATAGCATTGATATAGAACTTCATAATTATATTAGGGAAAGGCTATATCTTTTCTTTTTAAAAACAAAAATATAAGTATATTTTAGTTGTTTAGCAGTCACATTTTTGTATTTCCACAGGGGAGCAAATTTTGCTTTCTGACAATGCAGCTTCTCTTGCTGTGCAGGTAATTATATAAATAATGTAATATTTTTTCACTTTGAGTTGCAGTCCCCCCCGTACAGTCTGATACAATTTGCTTAGAATTTTTCTGTGTGATTTACCGTCATTAATATAACATCTCTCCTGTGAAGGTAATTTTATTATGTAATATTAGTCAGTTAATTATTGTCAACATATAAAAAACATTAAAATATTCATTCTTTTTATAAAAATCATGTATGTGCTTGGTACATTCTGTTTCTTGGTAGTTTTACTTTTGACTAGATATGATAGTATTGATTTTTTGGGGTGATATGTTCATTTATGGACACAATTATTTTCTAACTTATTTGTAAAGATTTATTCACCACACATTTTTAAACATCATTTTTTCATTGTTCTCATTCTAGCATTAATCCATTTGGTAATCTTGAAGCAGACATATTCTTCTCTAGTCATTTTTATATACTTATTGATTGCATTAGTGTCTATTATCCCCAAACCACTTATTGAATGCAGTAGCTCTTTAAGTTGTATATCACAGTTGTGTAATACAAAAAAGATTAGTCACCCTCTAAACTTTAAACTACACTATGGGAAGAATTGAATACTTGGGGATTTTTTTTTTTGCCTTAAAAAAGAGAAATGTTTATGTAGATTATAGAATTATAATTATTTAAACATTTTACATTTTACAAACATTTTACATACTTAGTTGCTTTTTATTTAGTTACCTTACATAGTTTGAATCACAAAGAGGATTTTATTGTCCAGCACCCAAAAGATAAAAGAGAAATCTAAGACACATGACATTTATTGGAGATGAGTCTATGAGCATCTCGAGGACAGAAAGGAAGGGAAGAAAAGGAACTGTGAGCTTTTGCTGTGTTCTAGGCATGATGCTAGGCACTTGGTCATTTCATTATATATTTTTTTATTCAACTTTATATCCTCTGGGCTTAATAACTATGTCTGATACACAGTATGTCATTCAGTACATTTGTGTTTTGTTTAAGTCAGAGAAAGAAGGAGAGATGGAAATAAGTATATTGGACAATAATTTATTCATATGACTATAAATATCTTTAAGTTCCTTTCTTTTAGAAAATTTGTATCTTTTTACCAAGAATAAAAATTATTTATTTACCTTTATTTTATCTTTAGGCACTAGTTATGTTAACTTTTGAGAAGGAAAAATTCTCAGTTGGTTATAGGTAATATGAATTTTATACTTCTATTTTAAAATATTTTTTAATTAAAAATATTAAAATATTTACTTATTTATTTTTGGTGGAGGAGATAGAATTTAAATTTAGCTTTCAAATACTAATAACATAGTGCCCAGCATATAGAATGTACTCAGTAAGTATTGAATGAAGGGTTTATAAGTGTGATAAAAGCAATCTTGTCTGATAACTGATAGCATCAGTAAATTATTTGCTTTATATAAAAGTGCTTTTTCAATCTTTATATCTTTGAAGAGATGGTTTCAGGGCACAGTGAATATTTTAGTTGAAGCATCAATTCTTAACCCTTTTTTAATTGCCATTTTTGGGATAACTCTTTGAGGATCTGATGAAACACATTCTAGTGGACTTGCACAAATAAAAACATACCCAGGCTATTCTGGTTTCAGGAAGTTTACTGATCTCCCTGCTGTAGCTATCTGGTAATCCCCTATGAAGAGCCCCTAAAACTAAAGAATAGCAATTTAGGAAGTATTGAAGTTATTTTCCCCAAGTAGGAAAGTACTTTGCGTAGTGGTTCTTAACTAAGATTTCTCTTCCACAGTGGACATTTGACAGTGTTTGGACATTTTTGGTTATCCCAGCTGTTGGGGAGGATGCTGCTGGCATCAGTTGGTGTTAAACATCTTACAATGCACAGAACAGTCCTTCCACAATAAAGAATTATCCAGCCCTAAATGTAGATAGTGTCAATGTTGAGAAACCCTGGAATAGATGATTTAACTAGTCTTCAGTATAAACCAAGATATCAGCATATTACTGCTAAAAAATTAATGTTTTAAATAAACTGCAGAATGGAAGAAAAAGAAATCTTTATTTAGCAACTCTGTTTTTATGGTTCCTATTAATTTGCTTTCTCACCATGGCTTCTCAAATCATAGTTGCAATTAAAAATAAAACCAGAAAAAAAGAACCTTTTAAAATGCAGAATTTTGCTTAACCATTTTCAATTTTTTTGTTATCCTACATATGTCACTTAGATGATAAATTAACCAGCATATATTAAAAATTCTTGGTTTTCTTCAATATTCTCTGGCTTGACAGCTGATAGTAGCTATGACTATAAATGTGACTTTTCCAGATATCTGATGTAAACTTTATGGAATAATTTTCATCTATATAGTAGACTAGTATCCATTTAGAAAAATCAGTTAAATGTATAAAATTGATCAAAATAATATAACAGGTATCCATAAACTAGATATTTTCTAGACGATACTAGATATCAAACAGGTATTTTAATAGTCTGCCAGTTAAGCCATCGGTAAATATAAATTTTACTTACCACATAGACTTGGCATTTATCATACCTCTGGAGCTAAATGGTTAGATCTTTTTTGATTAAAGGAACATTTATGATTTCAGTTTAAAAGAAAATAATTTTTTTTTTTTTATCTCATGGCTGTTATTTCCTCTTAGATTTGGTTTCCTTTCCGCATCCACAAAGTACTGGTATTACGTTACTCAAGTGTTTGCCTGGTCATAAAATAATCTTGTGTTTTGAATATAGTGAGGTATTAGTGTAGTGTGTTCCTCCAGTTTTCATGAGCAGTGTATCAGTAGCAGCATATATAAAGGTACATATATATACACACACACATATATATATATGCATATATACACCGACACAGTGCTATATAGAGAGATATAGCTCTCTCTATATAGCACTAGACAGAGAAGGAGAGGAAGAGAGAGATTGATTGAGAAATCTTCCATTCCATAATACTTCTACTTTGAAGGACTTAAGCTTGTATTGATTGAGAAGAGAACTTTGATAATAATTCTGTTACAGCTCTCTCATCCCCAAACCTAAACCAACTATTCAGTAGATATATAATGTATATAATGTGGGCCACATATGTAGTTTAAAATTTTTTAGTAGCCCCATTAAAAAAAATAAAAAGAAACAGGTGAAATTGGTTTTAATAATATATTTAATTTAATGCAGTGTATCCAAGTGTTATCATTTTAACATGTTATCAATACAAAATGTATTAATGGGATGCTTTACATTTTTTATATTAACTTCAAAATCTGATGTGTATTCTATAGTTATAGCACATCTCAATTTTTGCTAGTCACATTCGAAGTGCTCAATAGCTACATGTAGCTGGTGGCTGTCGAATTGACAGCATGTCTAGAAATACAGTATGAGAAAACATATGAACTCTCCAGGTTTTCTGCAAAAAATGTTTTATTTGATTTTCTTCAGATGTTGTCTTTTGTAGCAGATTGCGCAAATGAAATGGGCAGTTGGTCTCTCAAATACAGCGTACCTTAAACAATACTCTTTGTTTCCGATTTCCTAATCTGTAAGATACAATAGATGGAGATATAATAGAAGCTATACTATTGGATGTCATGAGGATTGAACGTATTAATATATATAAAGCACTTAGAAAAGCACCTGGCATAATATAAATATGCAATGAATGTTGGTTATTATTTTCTTCTCTCATGATTCTTTGACAGAGTACACATAATGTCAGCAGGAGGAATGGGAGCTTGCAGGCTTTATAATGCCTGAAAATACCAAAGTAGTTAAAATAAATGTTTAGTATAAGAATTTTTTGGACATATTTGAATTTGAGCATTAATAAGTTTTGTAATCACTCTTTCATTCCATTTCCCAAAAACGTTAATATTGAATGCTTTAATTCAAACAAACTATTATTTTAATAATACTGAATAATTTGTTTTAAATTGAATATTTATTGAATGCTTTTATTATAAAAGGCACCCTACTGAGAGCCATTATGTAAAATATCTCATTCAATCCTTATTATTACACTACTGTAGGATACTATTATTAATTTCATTTTAAAGATGTGGAAACTGAAGCTCAGAAAAGCTGTACTCAAGATCATAGAGCCCACAAATTGTGGAGGTAGACAAAACAGCACTGGCTAAGTATCTACCATGTGCTCATCACTGTGCTGAGCACTTAATTCTCATTAACTCATTTAATCCTTACAACAACTGTATGAGGTAGGTGCTATTATAATCTCCATTCTGCAGATAATGTTAATAAGAACAACAATAATAACATAGCTAAAATTTACATAGTACTTACTCCGTGTGGGAGGTCTTGTTATGTGTACTTTAGGTATCATAGGTAATCCTCACACACAGCAACCCTATGAGATAGGTAGTAGTAGTCTCATTTTACAGATTTGGAAGTTAAAGTAGAAAGGTTAAGCAGTCGGCCCAAGTTACATAATTAGTTCTTGACAGAGCTGGAATGCAGACCTAGGGTGTCTGAGTCGAGAATTCACACTCTTAACACTTTGCTGCTTATCAGTTTAGTCCAGTGATACAGATCTTTGAATTTTTATCCAAAAATAAGTGGACATTTAATTCAAAAATTATTTCTGACATTCTACCCTACAATTTATAGATTACATTAAGATGTGAAAGATAAACACGTCTCAGTTTGGGGATCTTTGAAATGTGATAAAGGCGGTCTGACTTATAGTATGAGTTATTGTGAAGCTCAGCTTTGGTAATAAATGGGAAATTCTTTTGAAAAAAGTGAAAGAAATATAAACATAACATGTTAAATGCTGAATTAGTGCCTATTTTGACTTCAAAGATTTATATGGATATTTTGTTAATGTCTTTATATAATAAAATGTCACTTTCTAGTCAGTTTTGGAAAGGATTTTGTTTAATATATATGAAGCTAATTTTAAAAGAAATCTGTTTTTTTGTTTGTTTGGGTTAATCTAAATATTGTAAAAGTTTGAATTTATTTTTAGAGAGTCTCAAGGTGATCATC